GCTTGACTTTTTGTTCAGGATGGTATTTATGAATTCAAAGCAATTGTGCACTAGGTGCTGGAGCGATAAATGGAAGAATGAATGAGGTGTTTGTTACTAGCTCACAGGACGAAATTGCAAGAATCCGTAAACGGAAACGTGGCAGAAACATGTTAAACCGTTCTGGAAACACGACGGATAACCTGTGTTTCCGTTACCGGTTTCGTGACGTTTTCTCGCGTTTCCGTTGCTGCGTATACAACGGAACCGGACCACTTTTTGTGCATGTTAAACATAACGGAAACATGGAGTTGCATGTTTCCGCCACGTTTCAGAAATACGGAAACATGTGATTTCGTCCTGTGTAGGGTACTTTCAACCCTGGTTTTCTTTAGTTTCACTAACTTCACTCTTTCACTCCCAAGATCTCAATTATTTTAGTAATTCGCCCTACTGTCTGTCATACAACTCCTATGATGTTAGTTTGGAGAATTCTCATTGGATCAAACAATATTCCCTATGTTTCTTTATTCTCATCACTTGTCTGCTTGATATGTACTGATATTGTAAGGAGAAATCCTTTCTTGGTCACTCATGGGAGTTAAAGGGTTAAGCATTAGCTTAACCACAACAGTCTATCAGAAGACTGATAAATATATGGACCTGAAGGTTTCGCACATGCAGGTGCCCACATTCAAGCAGATTTTAATGGTAAAATAAAGTGCTTCTGTTGTTTTTGAAAACCAAGCTCCATTTTTGATATCTACTGTCCCCCTTGTAGCAATGGCTGCTTAGTGATGAAATGTGTGTTTTGATCATATGATATAAAATGTCCGATACATTGAAAGAAAATTATATTTTTTTATTCTAAGTAGAGTGTGTCCTGTTTGTTATTTATTTCACGTTTCCTTTCAAACATTGTGAAACAATTACTTGACACTAAATGGCTACAACTTCCACAGCCAGGTAAATGTCACCTTTGCACAATTTAGAGCACAGTTATCCCTCAGTATAATAAATTGTAAAACCTTGAAATTTAAACAGCATTGATTTGGATTGTGTATGAATATGTGAATATAATTTTGTTGTCAACAAGTTAATCATTGATAGAATTACCTAGGTTATCAGATAATTTTTAAGCTGGCAACTTTTTTAAGTTGGTGTAAATTGTTTATCCCATCTTTTACCAAAAGTCCTGCCAAAAGCACAAAATACAATATTGTACATAGATGGTAAATTATAGTACTACCAGCCACTTTTTATAAGCCTGAGTTACAACCCTAAGCCACATTGTTCAAAGTTGGTTTAAGATAACCTAGGGTCACTCTGAAATTTCATCTCAGATCCGAAAGCATTAAATCAAAATTCAGTTTAATTACTTTTGTCTACAATTTGATGATTGGATGCTCTCAAAAGAAAAGAAAGTATCCCAAAAATACTTTTGAATAGATAAATGAAGAAACCCTAGCATAATGCTAATCTACCTCCAAACATCTGGACCCTGGGCTGCATTGGAAAAATTATGAAACAGACTTAAGAGATCAAATTAATGTCTTCCTTAGAATTAGGAAGTCACTTTTGAGACAACTGCTTCTCGTATGGCATTACACTTTAGGAGCCTAGGATAGAATGCACCCTGCCCCCTCTAACCTGATACCCCTACAGTCAAGCCAGAAGATCAGAGGCCTTTGCAGAGTAGGACCTTTGGTGTTCCCAAACTTTTTAAGGGGTTAGATGTTTTGTTGTCAACTGTTTTGGTGCTTGATTTGGTAAGGTTTGGCTCTGAAATTTCTCAACAGTTTACAAGCATATCATGTCTTAAGGGGTTGGTGGGGTGCCTGGAAGGTTTGAGAGCAAAATTATTTTGCAGGATGGAGAGGAGTAGGTTAACTAACCAGTATATCAAATTTCGAAATCTCGAATTAAACACTTTCTTTAATTTGTAGTTTCAGAAATTGTCCCTGACTCCCTCATTGCAGACCTCTCTCAAAAAATTCCTAAGGAATGGAAGCTGTTGGCAAGTTATTTGGATTTGAACACTGATCATGTTGCCACTCTTGATCAAGAAAATATCATAATTGCTGAAAAGGTTATTGCCATGTTCAATGCATGGAAACATGCACAGGGAACAAATGCAACTCGCAGTAAACTAGTGACTACTTTGGTTGGTGTTAAAAGAAAAGACTTGGCTGAAAAAGTTCTCACCTACCAGAAGGAATGATTCTTTTTCTTAGTGTGGCAGAGAAGGTAATGGTTTCAAACAGGGATGGGATGGAAAGGAGATTGCAAAATTTCAAGCTACTGTTTTTTAAAAGATAAACTGGATGGCATTTTTGCTTGAGGGGTGCAAAAATTAACTTGATTCTTGGAGACAATTCTTTTTTTATGAACAAGGGACTACAAGACCTTTGAGCATGTTGAGGAAGGAAGGAATAATTAATATTTCATAATTATTTAATTCTAAGGTGGAAATAGTTTAATTAACATTAAATAATTCTTGAAATTTATTGAATAGGATATTTTTTTGATAATACCAATGATTGATGGAAACCTAGAAAAATAAAGATAAAATGTAGTTTTCTAAAAGATGACAATATTTTATTGGTTGCTTTTCTTTTTTACCTGTAGTTATGAAACTGATTGTATAGTTTTGTGTGTTTTTTTTTTTTAGTTTTGACATAGTTTAGATTAGTTTAAAATTATTTTATTTACACCAGGAAATTAACTGGCTTTGCAGAGATGAATTTTAAAAGCATCAAGTCACTGGTAACAGAGCTCAAACACATCAGCACATGTTGAGGACTTTTGCTGGCTTGTGCTTGAAACCATGGGAACATCAGCCTTAAAAGCTGGAATTATGAAAAACTGTAAAGGAGTGAGGTTTACTCCCTAAGTTGAGACAAAAGCAGAGAAATCATTTGTTTCAGACTGTCCTTCAAAGTGTGAATTACTGTACTGTGATTTCAAAAATGTGCTTTGTGTAGGCTGAGCTACAATAATATCTGTAGGTGAGCTGGGCAGTCCTCAGCCAGAGTTGTTTTCAAGTCTGCTTGAAGCTCATTAATTTAAAAAAATTAATTTAATTTGAATGGCACATTCTAGCCTCATGTTTGTTATTGGATCCCTGGCATGGATAAGTTTCAAAACTTTCAATGAAAATTGATTCACAATTGATGTCAATTGACTACAACCAACCAACACAATTTTAATGTTAATAAAATTTGGGTGTCACAATTGACATCAATGTTATGAAAATGATACACAAACAACCACTACCCTTTTCATAGCGTTAATGAGGTGTTGAAAGTTGTAACAGTTACTGAGGATAGCTCTTAAAATATTATTGTAATTTGTTACTAGGTAGGCTCATGAAGAGAAGCAATATCATTTTCATGAAACAAATTCTTTCTTCTTTTTTCCCTGTTGTTTGTTAAGACACAAGTGATTGATTTTTAAACAAAGAGAAACACAGGAGAATTCTTTGTACATTGACTTGAAAAAGACATTGCTCCATTCAAATTCCAGCTCATTTAAAATATAGAAGCTCTATTAGACATTGTGGTAAAACACTTTTTAAAACTAATTGCAGCTTTGTGTCTTTAAGAGATAAAGAAGTGAAAATTTAATACAGCAGAGGTGCTAATGCTGGTAAAGTATTGCATATATAAGGTATAAAAACAGCTCTGACTGTAACCAATCATCACTCAGTCCTTTCAAGACACAACAAAAGTAAAAATCTTACAGGGAGCACTTAAGATTTCTTTTATTTTCTTAGTTTATTGTGCTTTAAGCAAACAGCCAACTTTTCACACTTCTGGTCACAAGCTAAAACACTGGGTCCAGATGGTAAACTTCCTGGTTAAAGGAAGGAATGAAGAGAAAAACCCTTGTTTTTTTAAAACTGTTTTGTTTTGTCAATGACCGTGAATATATGAAAATCATATACATGAACTGCAGTTTAAGAAATGAATATGAAAGCGATTTTCATAGTAATTTACACTATTTACCAGTAGTGAAAATAAGGTATGAAAAAAATTATGTCCTGTACAGGATTTGAACCCATGACCTCTGCTGTACTGGTTCAGTTCTTTACCAACTGAGCCAATCCAAAGGTCTGAGGTTTGATTCCTCATAGGGACTCAGAATTTTTTCTTTGTCCCATGTTCATGACAAGATGAAAAAACACATCTTTCTCTATTTATTGACTGAGCTCAAAATTTACCATATCTCCTAATTCTTTCTACAAACATTACACTTTCCACATTGCCAATCCTAGCAGTATGCAGGATGCATGTCATAATAGACCTCGCTCACAGTGGAGTCTCTGTGGCTCATTGGTTAGAGCATCGAAGCACAGAATCCAAAGGTCTGAGGTTTGATTCCTCATAGTGACTCTGAATTTTTTCTTTGTCCCACGCTCGTGACAAGGCAAAAAAAATATATCTTTCTCCAAACCAACTGGGTGTTGGTCATCCCATACAGACCTGAATTTTTTTTGTGAAGATCATGGAAGTTCACCAGAAAGACATAACTTGACCTTTTTGACCTGGGTTTTCTGGATTGTGCAGTGACAGAATAAATATAAGCTTTCATGGAAAAAACAAATGTTGATGATAATACAACAACTTCACTCAGTAAGACACTTTTCTTTCCTAAGTAGGCATGCAGTTTGACAACATTTTTATTTTCAAAGCAATGTATGGCTACTCATAGTCCATAGAGAGCGAATATTTCCTGCAGCAGAGAAGTGCATAAGCACAGCAACCACATTAATAAATTTTCCCATGTTTCCTTTAAATCCAGCATGTTCCTTGCACTATAACACAACTACTTTCTTTTCTAAATAACGACGACAGACTCTAACCTATCAATTGACTTCTTTTCCCTTAACCTTCTGGAGTCTCCCTTAAGAGTATGCAGACACCTGACATATTAAAATGGCCATAGCTATATGAAGGCTACATAATGCTATATATTCACTGGATAAACTGTTATACAGGGAAAGTGTAATATACAATTATTGTAGACTGTTTTCAAACAGATAGTACTATCCAGCATTTGAACGACTGAAGCCAGTCTCTCTCTCTTCTCTATCTCCCTTTTGAAAATATCAGACATGACTAAACCCTGCCATTGAATTTTGCAACAAAGTGCTAGCCTGGATAGAGTCAGGGAGCTCAACTTCAATGGACACTGGGCTGTCAAAATAAAACTCCCAAATACACACTAACAACTATTTAGCAAAGAACTAAAAACTGGAGCATTTTTTCAACATAGAGCATGTTCAGCTTATTCCTGCTGCCTTTCGTTTCTTGTTCTTCAAAATTTTATCAGTCCCCCCAGTAGTGTCCTGCTTCTTCTTGCCATGTTTTCTCAAACTCTCCAACATCAAACTTCCTCTTACAGCCATTAAAGTTCATGTAGCGTATCTTTCCAAACACTGGTCTTTCAGCCCAACCTTGATCATGCACTCCACATACTGACCACATGCAACCTTGAAGCAAATTGGGAACAACATTTAGTAACATCTCCACAATAGGCCTACATGATAGAGCTTTTGCCCCAGGGAACATCAAACCTTCTATACAACAATATAGCAATAATTCAAGACAAAAAGGGGGCGACAATGATAAGCTTAGGAGAATGAGGAGCCATTTTAAACTTTTAAAATATCAAGTTGTAAGACAAAACAACCTGCTCGGCTCAGACACTTACAACCCAGTCATCTCACTTGGGCACAGATGTGAATTTTACTTGCATTTGCCTTGGTCACTACAATTTACTTATCCCATGGGAATACCACATGTTACATTTAAATGCAACATTGTGAATGTAATAACCAATACCTACCCACATATCCATTAGGGTCATTGCCATCCTGACTGAACCTGTCATTAAGGAAGAGAGACACCTCAAGGGCCTCTTCAGGGCTGGCTGTCCACTCTAGAATTTTCTTTGCCCAGTACATTCTTAGGAAACCATGCATTTTGCCTTCATTTACCAGCTGAAGCTTAAGTGCAAAAGACAATTTTTTTTTTTGTAGAAAAGTACTTCAGAGTAATTTTTTAAATTGAAGCTTTTATTTGCATCAGGCTGCAAAGTGATCAACTTCAGGAAACAGTTACCATAATACTGTAAGTTGTGGTTCTGAATCACTTCACACAAGCTACTGCTTTATGCTTGGTGAGCCATTCAAGACTTTCCAACAGTTTTTGCCTATTTTGCAGACTAAGAAAATAGCTCTAATCATATCGCTAGGGAAAAATAGCAACATCTTTACAATTAAGTACACAATATCACTATTTATTTTAAATCCCAGTCAGTACTTAAATTATTTCTTTTTAACCCCACATAAAGATTATTCATCAGCCACAAACCTGGGCAGCATTCCAAAGGTCATCATGTGTGTTCCCATTTTCAAGCTCTTCTCTTGTGTACAAATATTCCCATTTATCCTGTGCATGATCATGCAGAGTCTTCTGTGCCCACGCATTTGTCCCTTTGATTGAGTCATAATTCTCCAAGTTGTAAAAGCAAAAATTATCAGCTAATTCTCTCCTAACAACTGCTTCCTCGAGGAAGGCCTCAACAGAGTCTTTAGACTTGCTGTGGAACTCTCTTACTCTGAGGATTGCTCTCTGGACACTTATGTGACCTGTAGAGGAAAGTGCAAAAACAAGAAATTCAGGAGTGGAATTTGGTTACAGTCAACCCAGATCCTTCTCTTACAGATAGAAAATGGTTTTCAATTTTATCCAATCTGACAGACCTAGGTGTGATGAGGAGCATCAGCTCATTTTCCAAAGAGCAGCTCAATACTTACATTATGATTGCGCCTAATTTTTCTGTAATTTAGGATTCACACCTAATGAACATTTCCTGACTCTGTGTAACAGTGATGAAAGGTTGCTTATTCTAAAATTGTTGGAGATGCAGAGACCAGTTTTTCAGATTAACACAATTTACAAAAAAAATCAATAGAAAATAATATCAAACTAACTTTAAAAATTTTAAAATTAAGGAAACATCTGACCAAAAGAGAAGCAGAAACTGATTCATGGTTTTAATTAGTGATTAAAAGTTATTACATTGAATTTTTTCAATTACCTGCATGAAACCATGGTGATAAGTTACTTAAAGCTTCCTTTATGGGATTGTTCCTATCGGTTGCAAAATATTTGAGCCTGCTGTCACAGAATGATTCCAGCATTTCCAAACCAGCCTCAGTTCCTGCTTTAGCCCAATCAACATCTTTAACAGCACGATCAACATCAATGAAACTATCCACTGCTTCCCAATCCACTGCCTTTGGAAAGTTACAGATAATGAACCTTTACAAAC